GTAAATGTCTAAAATTACTGCCTCATTTTTTAAATGATTCTCCTGGACTTTAATGCACTTAGCACGACGATCCTTTAAACGTCAGGTTCCAGCAAGAAAAAAAGCTTCTGTTGCAAACTTCAAATCATTCCTGAACGCATCCTTCAAATTATCATCATCGCTGTAACGTGAAAAGCGCACATCCTGTTGAAAAATACGGAATGTAAGTAAGCCTATAGCTAGCTAAAATGGTGAATGTGAAAGAAGTGGAAATCCACACACACATAAAATGGCTCACAAAAGCAGCGCTCTTCTACTAAGTTTGTCAGTGCAGCGAAGATATTCATTTCGATCGCTATCGAATGCAATTTAATGATGTTTTTGCGTGACATCTGTACGTCTGTAGGTAAGGATAGAATAAAAGATTTCTTTTCCCCAAACGAATTATAAAACTGATTTAAAATGGATTCAGAACAGAATTTTTTTCGTGGCGTCTTGTACACACGTACGTATGTATGTATTTCGCATATCTCAAAAAGGAATAGCCTCAGAACGTTGAAATTTTGTATGTAGGACTGCTATAACAGTAAATGTGCACCTCAGTTTTTGGTTGCAATCGGCCGCAATAAAGTATATATATATATATATATCCACTCTGTTACTAAGCTCAGTTTCTTTACATGTTTGTAAATTGTGCATTTTTTTTCCTTTAGTTAACCTGCATGTTATAGTTGTATAGTCATCAACAATTTAAAATTTGTTTAAGTATGGCTAAGCCTAATTTTGTTTACCATGGCAACCATGCTGGTTTTCATTTGAAACTTAGCAGAATAGTAGATTTGTTGCCAATCTAGAGAAACTAAGCTTCGCAACAGCAAAATAATGTCTTCTTTTATTATTATTGCGAATTAAATTATACTTAATGCATTCTGGAATTATCATTTAAGGTATTACATTTTCTCATATATTGACTGAGCATAGCGTCCACAACAAATTAAATCAGTTCCTACGCCTTCAGTGTCTTTTTGCGGAGGGAAACCAAAAGAAACTTTCAGTTTTGTGAACCCGTAAAATCTGTCTTCCTGCCCTCTGGCCGAATTGCTTGTTTTTACATAGAAACTGTAATTTTAATTGTAAAAATTTGTTTTTTAATTTTTTAACGGTATTTTGTGTTTTATGTTTTTCTATGTCTTTACACTTTTAGTGAAGATATTTTTTGTTTTTATTAATTTCGCCTTGCCGGGACGTGAGAACTAAATTAATTGAATGAGAAATACATCTCTAATGAAATTCGAGGAAATAAGTGTTTCATATTAGCAGAAACTACTGTCAGCAGTCTGTTTCGGACAGAGGAGAATGTTTTAAGAGTAGCGCATGCGCATTGGGTAAACAGCGCTGAATCGTCTGTGAAAAACTGTTTATTTTTTATTTCTTTAATTTCCTTTTTACATCGTTTTAGATTTATTATAGTATTTGAATAGAACATGTGGCAACGATTAAATAATTCTTCAGATGGTATATTTTTTTTTGCTTTCTGAGTTACAAAATGAATGAGATATAACGCTGTTAAGTGAGCCTAACACCAGAGTATCGCTATGGTAAATATATCTAGTGAATTTTAAAAAGCGCATTTATTCTCTTGTGGTTTATGCGCTTTCGACGAAGTAGATTTAATTCAATTCAATAAGTTTAAATGACATGCAGGAAAAATGCGTATAATTTAATATTCTGTGCAAGGAAGTCATGTGGTGTACACATCAGATTTTTTTTTCTTTTTCTCTTGTCGAACGGTCAATCATCTAACGATTTTTAACGTTTTCAATGCTAATATATATATGACTGAGTAGAAATATTTAACAGTCTGTCAAATATTACACCAGCTGTTTGTCAGCTTGTTTGTATTTTCAAAAGATGATACCAATCAATTTACCTTGTTTCACCGTTTTGTAAGTATTACGTCGTATTTAGGCTTTTAATTTATTGGAAGCCCTTCTTAATTGCCTAGTTTCTTAAATAGATTGATCGCATTTATTACGAAATCATAATTTATTTTAATTTCGTGATACATTCTTTATAAATTGATAAAATTATGCAATGATCTCGGACTCAAGGAGCAAACCCATCTATGAAAAGAATATCATGCAATATTGTGTAATATTTTTACTTGCGTTTGATCTGATCTTTTATATACTATTCTCATAAAGTTCTGAATTTTTCATTATAATATTCATTGTATGTTTATGCCCGTGGTGCAACTCAGGCAATACTTGAAAGTGAATTAGGCCTTAATTTCTGTGAAACATTCTCATATAATTAGAATGTACAGTCTACAAAAGAAAATACTTTGTAGAGACATTAGGTTAATTGAAAAAGCCGGAGAGATGAAAAATTAGCAATCGCCTTCGCCGGGAATCGATCCACGGACTTCTGAAATACCGGCTCAGTGTGCTGACCACTACACCATGAAGGCACGCTAGGAAATCGTGAGAAATACCTTATATACTCTCCTTTTTAAAGGGCGGCTAGGGTTTTAGGGAACCTAGTCACCAAGTCCTGGGTGAGGAGAATCGTCATCCAACGCCCTTTTAGTTCGGGCGCCACTGTAAAGACATTAAGTATTTTTGGAAACAGAAGAGATGAAAAATTAGCAGCACCTTCGCCGGGAATCCAACCACGGACCTCTGGAATACCGGCCCAGCGTGCAAAAACGCTACACCACGAAGGGACGCCAGGAAGGCGGGAGAAATACCTTATAACTTTGATCGCACCTTATAGTTTAAATATGATGACCAATATCAGCAGAAAATGAAATTGAAATTCCTACCAAAAATCAGTGAAGCTTTGATGCTAATTTATTCTGTTTTAATTCTAGCCTGTTCTGAAAGCTATCAAAAGTTTTCTGAATTAGGTACTATTTGGATAACGCGATTTAGAAATCATTTAAATCTTTCTACATACGGTACGTTAAAAAGAGCAAATTCAAAGGAAAATTTCTATTCCTGACACATTCACGTGTTAGTTTCCCAGAATATTCCTTTCTCTTTACCCCCCTCCCCCAAAAAGTAATAATAACAATAAGATATATTAAAATTGCTTTTCTTTTAATGATTTCTGAGAAAATGAGAATTGTAGAAAAGAATACTGAAATAAATTATCATCATTTAATGCAGTGAATTCCATTTATAAATTGAATTTCAAATACGCAAGCATATAATAGATTCGATTCATGGTTTGGGAGAAAAAGATTCCAAACTACTTTTTTTCTTAAATAAATTATTAATTTTCTTTAGCATTTCAAAATTACCCATTTATTTAAAACTTCTTGCATTCTGTTCCAACGTATATCATATGATATAAAAGTCTGGAAAGTATAAAAAGATATTTCTTTAAAATAACGTTGAAAATTTTACTGATTGTGGTAAAATTAAGGTACTACAATATACTGCTAAAGATTTTCTAAACAGAAGAATCGTCTTTTCTTTTATGATTGGAAAAAAAGGCCATTTTATTCGACTGAATACCAGGAAATATTAAATTCATTTTAGAGGATTACGTATTTTTTCAAAACGATAATGCTTAAAATCGTGTTAATAATCCTTATGGCTAATTTATTTTTTTGTCTCGAAACTATCTGTCTCTAGAATATGGATATCGGTGATAACTCAATACGAATGTTTATTTAGTTTGTACTCACAAATATCGTTCAATTTTAGATGTAGTTCCAATGAGAGATTCCACTGTTGTTGTTATCATAATATATGCTCTATTACTGCAATTATTAAGTATTATGCTGTTAAGCTAATAAATAATTTTAGACTTTCGTTGGTTACATATTTAATCACGTTTAATTTCAGCTGAAGCCCACTGGAACCGAAATTTCCTATAGGGTTACACTTTATCTGGTAATGGAGGTTCGAATCCCGTGAACGGGCTGGCTGCATGGGCGTTTTCGTGGTTTTCCCCATGTGTAACGTGTATACGAGCCAGTTTCCCTTAGAAAGTCCTCCACGAAGGCATCCCTCCCCTTAGGCAGATAGCCCTAGTGTGCTTTGCCATAATTAAATACACCACCACACCTTATCTGGTAATGATATTTCAGTCTAATAACCCCAAGAATCTTGAGGCGAATTATCGCTACGTATGAGAATAATGACTAATTCATGAGAACGTTAAATAACTTTTTCATTTAAACGGAATTTAAAACATAAATGAACTATCTTATGCTATAATGACCACAACATGAGGTTATGCCAAATAAATAGAAAAGTCCAATTTAATTTAAACGTTTAACAATAATCAAGGACTATACAATTAAATACTATACTAGAAACTGACTCACTAACTCTACCAGAGCTTCAGAAATAGCGTCAGCAGCGAGAAACAGTAAAGCCGAAGTATTACAATTAAAAGAGCTAGCATGAAACTAACCACGTACCGTGCACGCAATGCCAGAAATACTTTATAATTCAAATCAAAAGTCTCAGCTCAAATACTCAAAATCAAAAGTCTCAGCTCAAATACTGTAGTAATTTGCACTCTGGCGAGAATCAAGGAAAGAAGAAGTTGTAGTAAGGGTCGAAATTATAAATAATTGGTTAATTAGCATAAGATTCCCTGTAACTAATTAGTTTTATTTATTTTTGACATTTTATTTATTTATTAATTATTGTTTTACTTGCCTATTTTGGTTCACTTTTTTAACGGCTTTCCATAGGGCTCCGGCACTTCTTATCGTGTACTTAGTTATGCTTGTTATGGTACAACTAGTGTTGTTCCACATATGAAGTAACCACATGCCCATTGACTCGTGAGTGTCCTGCAAAATTTAAGCTATTAATTACATATTTGTATATTCAAATCAAAATATTTATAGTTTACTTTATGTGATTATATGCAATCCTTTTTAGAATTTATTGTAAAGTTTGGTTCTTAGAATTGCTGAGAGTTTTAACTCATAATGTTTAATGCTTTACTGTAATGTTATTACTCTAAATGCAACAGTTTTACGCCATTTCTTTCAGATGGTGAATCAATGCCGTGGATGGTTTTTGAGTTCATGCAGTATGGAGACTTAGCACAGCTACTCAGAAGCAACAGTCCATTTATGAGGAAAACTCCTACTGAGCACATTATGAATTTAAGTCAGGTATATTAAAACTGATAACAAATTTTTAAAGCATTTATTAGATGTTCATTGTTTAATGAGTAAAAACCAGAAAAAATAACCAGAAAGTAATCATTATCCTTACACGGTAATTCAAATTTATTGGTACTCTTCTGTTATCGGAACCGGATTGAGAATTATATGTAGGCATGCACGTGCTTATGGGTATAGGTGCGTATATGTGTGTGTTTATACACGCATATATGTACGTACGTACATAATACATGCATACATTAACACATCCATCCATCCTTACATTTCTGAATCTGGTCCGGATAACAGAAGAGTACCAAATTATTTATCCATTTTGCAACAACTGTGTCAATGTAAAAAAACAGTTTACAGTTATATAGTAGTACAGCTATACAAAATCCAGTGCTGAAGTATTTTTTTCTCATTCAACCGACCTTTTCGGAGACCTTTTATTTGCCAACCACAAACCGTAACAAACTGCGTGTTGAAATTAGAAGCGAAGGAATTGAATGTAAAACGTAAAATCTGATAGAAAAATAATCTGAGTTTGGGGATGATTTTGAAAATCATATCAATTTCGAGGGTGATCAAATATAGGTCCCTCTTCTTCAGAAGCATTTTTTTTTTCAGAAATGGTAATAATAATACGATAATCTTAATCATATACATTAAATCATCATATGAACAGATATTATATATAGATATAGAGATATATATATATATATATATATAATATTATATCTGATTATAATATATATATATAATAATATGATTTATATATATAATGTACCAGCTTTTGTCCGGAATAAATAGATTGGTGAAGAATCATAGATGTAGTCGAATGCTCTAAATATCAGATGATAAATTTAAAAAACAGGATCCATTTATTGTTATTCAGGAGAAATAGCAATTATAAAAAATGAGATCTCCTGAGTAAATAAAAAAGAACTACTAATAACTTTTTGTATGAAGTTTACATTACAACTGTTACATTAAAGAAAGTTTACATTAAAGACGCCAGAGGAAAAGACCCCGATATTCCTTTGCGAGTCTTTTTATAGCCTCTGGAAAGGCAGAGCTTCCAAGAAATGACGTCAGCGTCGTCATCCATTCTAGTTCGCTTTAAATATCTCCAGAACATTCTGAAACTGTACGTATAGAAAAGGTGAGAAAAACAACTTGAGTACGGGGCTGTGGATTTAATTCCACGTACTTTCAAATAAGAGACCGTAGCCATTAAAAATGAAAAGAACATACAGTTAGAATTTTAAGTGTATTCTTGACTATGGAATTTTATTATTACATATATATATATATATATATATATATATATATATATATATATCATAAATTCTCAGTATATGTTTATGATCTCGGTAATTGTAGGCCGAAAATGTCAACCTTCACAAGATCAGAAACATTAGGCCTAATAAACGCATCACGTGTCTAATTGTAAATCGGAATTCCCTTGAATGGGAAATTCTGGCTACAGGAAGGAAAAAGAGGAAGACTAAGCATCCCGATCAACAATCATCCGATATTTCCTGATAGTTTAGTAGGTAGAATTGCCAGAGTCGATCTCTTCTAAATGTTCGATGATTTCCATGCCTAGTTTGATCTTTTCTGAGATTTCAGATACATACATCTGCATCTGGTATATGTCTTCTTTATTTTTGGATACTAAAATCAAATAATTTCATGCATCATATAACTAATATATACTGCGAAAAAAAAGGGCTGGGGACAGTTCTATATCTCCCTTTTTACTGAGGCGTTTGAGAAAATTCAAACTGCTATTTTCATGTCACGAAAGCGTGACTTAGGATATATACTAAACTTATATATAGCATTGTTCTAACATAGGTAGTTTGACACAAAATGGGTCTTTTTCTGAAAATAAAATACCATTTTTGTTCCATATTCCGTTTCTACGACTCAAATTATGCCTGAATATTAAATTTTGTAAAATTTGGTGCGAAATTTACGGAGAGATTCAAATATTTACCTTGGCGCAATTTTTTCAGTTTTCGGCCAAGAATAATTCACTCGGCGCACTTCTTAATATATGGCAACCAATTCTCGTTTCCGTTAAATTATGCCGGAACGGAAAAAAAGGCCCCTCGTTCCTACATTTTTGCATTGTGCATGAGCGGAATAAAAGTCATATCATTCTTACTTTCAAATAATTTTAGCAAAGTGTGTAAACCACATTTGATGTTTTATCGCTTTCAACAAATATGTCAAATTTCAAAAAGCCCCAATAAATAAATTTACGTATATCTTCGGAAATTTTCAATAAAATGCTCTAATGTTTTGCAGGTATACCTAGAAATACATCTGCTTTAAGATGATGGTAAAACTTTTAAAGGTTATAATTCAAATTGTTTTTCCAAAAATTTATAAAAATTATTTAAAATACAAATTTTAAAGCTAAAAGGTGGTGATAAATAAAATACGAAAAACATAAAAAGTGGGGTGAATTTTATTTGGAATGATCCTAAATTTCGAACTGGGAAAGAAGGAATCAAGTAAGTGTAATAGAAAAAGAGATATTGATGAATACATACCAAACTGAATTAACATGAAGGAGCTAAAATGTTGAGATCTAATTTTTTTAAAAACTATTCGTGCGATTTTTATAAAACTTGGCAGTTTAGAATAATGAGTCGTAAAATCGAAATATGGAACAAAATTGGCATGTCATTTTAGAAAAAGTCCGATTTTGTATCAAAATACTTATGTTAGAATGATGCTATATATAAATCTAATACATATCTTAAGTCGCGCTTTCGAGACATGAAAAACGCAATTTTAATTTCGTCAATCGGCCCAGTAGAACGGAAGATATAGAACTGTCCGTTTTTAATTTTGCAGTGTACATACCAGAAAAACCCTAACTAAAGTAACTCTGTCTCCTTATCGAGGCGAACCTGTCAGTATACGCACTTCATTTCCTATAAACTGTAAAAGCGTTGCCATGAATGCAATACCCACAACAAAGATACCGTATTTGAACCCTTTGACTGTACCAAGCGAAATACACTATCTTCCAAACGTTAAGGAATAGCATGTTTTTCAAAGCCCACCATTACAAAAATGTCAGAATTCACATTTTATATACATCATAGTAACGAAAATTTAAAGAAAATACATGAAAAAAAAAAAAATCTGAAAGACTTCAGATTGTAAATTACGTCCAAAGGAGAGTTTTTTTTAACGTTTTGTGTGTTACTTTATTTATCAAATATCATGTTCTTTTCACTTAAAATATAAAATTCAGCTCAACAGCAATGTCGCAAAATAATTTTAAAATGAGCATATCTTTAGAATTTCCGATACACAGTTCCGCGCCCTGGAGATAAAAGGGTCCTCTCCCTCGTAGATTGTTGCCATTGCTCGCTTTGAAATCCTTGAGTTTGTTAATCAGAAATTCGCTAAAGTTTTACAAAATATTAAATCGATAATAAAATATATTCCAAATTTCAAATTTTCAGATGCCCATATTCCCAATAGGATTGCGTCATTTAAAATCGGATGGCTCTACGTACCATTTTTTTATCACAATGCAAGAAACATGCATGCACTTACACAGATTCTTTATTATTTAATTTCTTCAAATATAATATAGGGCGGTAGGGTTTCGTGGCAACGATTTGAAGAGTGATATGCTGTTTATAGGGTTTCGACACAAAACGAAAACAATAGTCCTTTGGAGACAAAGCCCCTTTGGACTAATAAAGGAAATATATGAAAAATATATAAGAAAACAATGTTAAGAAAGTATATACAAAAGCAATAGCTAACGCTTTTATTTTATAGAAATGTATATTTATAGGAGTTGGAGAAAAAATGCAAAATTTGTAAGTTTTGTTCGAATGTGTTGATATTCAGTTGTTACTCAATTCGTTAAGGTGGCGGGCGATCGGATGGATGGAAATGGGGATGTCACGAGCTGATGCTGCTAGACGTCTCATTGTCTGTCATAGTGTGGTTCACAGACTCTTTGAGTCCCACGATTCTGTGTCTAGAAGACATGTTCGAGACAAATCAAGAGTTATAACATCTGCGAGATATTGTCATTTATGTCTTTTTCCAAAAGCAAGAACAATATTATTGTGTCTCAGCTCATGGTAGATTATTTAGCGGCAACAGGAACAAGAATCACAGCTACTACAGGGCGCAAACGTCTGTATAATACAGGTCTGTAGGCAAGACCACCAATTGTTTGTGTTTCCTTGACCCGAGGACACAGAGGTGACCGTTTATGTTGAACAAGAGAATACGTCTCCTGGACCAGTCAACAACGTGGCTGAGTCCAGTCATTGAAGTGTGGTTCAGATCGTCAGTTGATCTGGAGGGAACAACGCACCAGATACAATCCATCCCACATTGTGGAAAGACACAGTTACAGAGGTAGTGGAACAATGGTTTGAGCTGGGATTTTGGGTTTGGCAAAATTATAGTTTGAGCCCGGTGGTCACACTGACCTGCATGTGTTCCATAGAGGAACTTTGACCGGTGTGAGGTATCGAGACGAGATCCTTGATCAATAACAAGTTCATCCATATGCCGCTGCTATTGGTTCTGGATTTCTACTGATGGACGACAATGCGCGACCGCACCAGCTCGGGTTGCTGAAGAATATCTTGAGTGTCATGATATGGAGCGGATGGAATAGCTACCTTATCCCCAGACCTGAATCCTTGATAGACAAGTTGTTATGTACTCCTTGCTAGATTAGGTTGAACAAGGATTACTACGATTGACAACTTCATTTTGACAGCATTAACATCGCTGCCTCCAATGCATTGTAGCTAGGGGTGGACACTTTTCTTATTAAAACCCATTTTTATAATGTTACCAGCAAATTTTTATTCAGAACCTTTGAGGTACTATTTCTCTAAGACTGGATTTCTCTGCCAGGAGTGCAATTCTTTGTCGTTATTCATATTTGTATTGAACTTAAAAAAACATTCCATGTCGTGTTTATTAAAGAACTGTTTAGCGAA